TCTCTCTCTCTCTCTCTCTCTCTCTCTCTCTCTCTCTCTCTCTCTCTCTCTCTCTCTTTCTCTCTACTCATAGAAGGAAAAAGGAATGATGGAAACAGTTGAATGAATGACTACTGTACGAGTTTTCCATATATAGAATTAATAGTATGATTTAAAAAGCTATTTAAAGCAGAGTGATTGTGAAAACTACGTACTCATTATATCGTAACCATTCAGCTTTAGTTTCAATAAACACAAAATAATTTATTTATACATGTAAAATAGAAACATGCCTGTTTCTTCCCCTAAACCCTTTGATGGATCTAGGCGAAATTTTGTGTAATTATACTTATATACTTCCTAGGACCCCGCAGAAAATGTAGATTACATGATAAACCTGGGCCACAGTTCACCCTCTCTTTCATCTCCTTGATACTCTATGATAACCCGAGCAACGCCGAGTAATTTCAGCTTAAACTATATATATTAATTTCAGATTTCAGTTAAACTATATATATATATTAATTCTGCATACACAAAACTCGTATAGTTGTCAACTATGTAGTTGCCATGTCTTTTTCCCCGAGTGTGAATATTATTCCGTTTTCCTTTTGGGAATCAAGTAAGATATATGTTTACTTGAAACAGAATGTCCTCTTATTAGAAGAAATCTCTATTAAGAACAATTCTGCAGATAAAAGACGCAATTCTACTCTGACTTGAAGAATATTGTGCTTAGAATATTTCCCTCTTAGCTTTACAAGAATCTTCGCCTTGGAAGCCATATATAAACGTAGAATTCTCTAGGAATCCTCTAGAATTCCAAGAATACCGCCAAGGGTGAGACTATATTTTTTGGGGTGCAGAGAACCATATCTAAGCGTTACGGCCGCCGTAGGCCGCTTAATTGTATACCCTAATAAGTAACGTCAGCTCGGCGAAAAACAATATTCCGCGATCGCGCGGAATCTATACGGGGCACATTTGCGCAAGCTGCCGCGGCTCATTCGTTGTGGCACGACGTGCGCTTCTTCGGGGAATCGCGCGTCGCCTCGTCGCGTTTATGTCTTTAATAAGGTCGCAGTAATGCAAGCTCGGCCCGAGTAATAACGCGAGCTGCCGGAAGAGAAAGGGATAGGTAGATAGATCGATTGAGGAAGAGAGGCAAAAAGAGATCGATCTACTTCCCGCCACGCGAACCGAACATCCTCTTTCTCTTTCCGCGCGCGATGCGGTGCGCCGCTGTGTGTGTGCAAGCTCATCTTTATTCAACGATGAATCCAACAATGCGGGAGGACTCTCATTAAGCGGCGAGAGTGTACGCGGGCGCGTTTCGACCTAATGCCGTCTTCGAGCTGTTCGCGCGAGCGCACTCTGTTTTTCCGGAATAAATTCAAACGCGGTTATACTCTCGCTGGGCCGTGCCGAATACCAAAATGTTTTCGCTCGCGCGCGCGCGCGCGTGCACTGTTACGTCGCAGCAATGACAGATAGCCGCGAGCTACATATTTTCAGAGGCAATCGAAGAACGCCCTGGCCGTCGGGAGGAAAACGCCGCGGCTAATTCATGGGCGTTTGGCTCGCGCGGCATTTGCGCGCTAATAGGGAGACTCCCGCGCTGATACAATTAATTCGCGCCGATTCCGGTTAATTAGTGAGCGGCGCGGCGCGAGCCAGTCATACTTCCCGCTGCTGTTCGCAGGGCGTGCAAGCTTTCCCGACCAATGTGACACTGCAACGTTTCCTGGAGCTGCACATCGAGATCACGGGCGAACTGCCGGACCCCACCAGCGGCCAGACCATGGAACGCTGCGGCGTCTGCTCCGAGAAGAGCTATTGCGCCCTGTGCGTGCACTGTGAGAAAAAGTGCTGTCCCGAGTGCAAGGACGCGCACATGGACATCTTGAGGCGCGAAATCACGCGCATCAATTCACAGGTATGACGACGAGCGAATGTAAGGAATGCGATTCTCTTTCATGGTCGGCCAAAACTCGAGTCGAAGTTGGTTGGTCGGTCTCCGGAGGGGATTTCTCGAGAACCCTCACATTCGCGCGTTGGACCGCATTCGTCTCTAAATTCGTCTTCTCATGCGATAGTAAATGTTTTATCGATATCTACCACGAGTTTGAGTAGCCACAGGGAAGATCGCGGTGATAGCGGCGAAATAGCCTGAATCGTGATTTACGGAAAAAGGGAAGTCGAGGAAATGCAGAATAATAAGAAAATACTGACGAGGCAGGAAGTATCCCTCGCTGATTTTCACGAGCCTTGGTTGTACGTAGAGAAGCCAAAAATAAAATGAACGGATATTTGTGCAAACGTTTCTCAGCACACATTCAGACGTCGAGAGCTAACTCGTAGAGTTCGCGGCACTTTGTGACGCTCAACGCGACGTATCTACTTGAAGCGCAGTATTTACTTGTTTCTCAAGAACGCGAGTTTGGAAAACAGTCTTACACATGCTTGTATTCGACATGAAATTCTCTTCAATCTTTGTCCTTTGCAACAATTCTGAAATTTGGAGAAATAGTAATTAGTAATCGGGGTATGTTGAAAAATTTTTTAAATTTTCATATCTAAGTACATGGTTATAAAGTACTGCCAATATGAAAAAGCTTTTGTGGGAAACATTTTTTATGTGTTTCACGGTTTCAGAGAAAATTTACTCATAATCAGATGTAAGTAGTTAGAATCGCGTTGGGTCCGTCCTACTTGAGCATGACGCGTCCGACATCTGTATCTACTTATATGCTTATATGTATCCTAAATGTACGATTTCAAGAAATAATGATATTATATATATAATAATATAATATATATATATAATATATATAATAATTATATAATAATGATATTATATATATATATATATATATATATATATATATAGTATTATTAAATATAAAAATTATATATATTATATATAATAAATAATTATGTAATTAAAAACATAACAAAATATATAATATTTTTAATATTATATATTTTTTATTAATATTATTAGATAATTGTTTTTATATTATTAGACAATTTTTTGGATCATTATACATAACTAAATTTGGGCCAGAATTAAATTCTCATTAATTTTTTTCTTACAAATATTTTTTAATTTACAGGAATAAAGTGGAGATATATTTAAAAAATTATTTAGGTTTAAAATAAAAAACCAAATGCGGGAAATAAATCAAACGATCCGTATAAATGTTTTGTAAAACGTTTTCTAGTACGTCTTTTATATTTTTAAAGATAATTCGTCTAATTTTAATACATCCTATGAATTTAAAGATAATTGTATATATGAATAGTTCTTTTTTTATTTTTGCCTTCTTTTTAATATATTTAAGGCTCACTAAGGTCGGTGAGAAACATTTTTAGATTTTACCTCAAGAAAAATCAAAGATATCCTGATTAAGGTATCTTTCGTCAAACGATAAATGTGAACATGACTAAAAAATTATTTATATTAAATTGATCCTGTATGTGTTGTATATCAACATTTAGATGTTACGCGAAAGTCAGTGTAATGGAACAATCATGTGTAAAATAAATCGAGGCGACTTCTAGAACTTGCCTTTATTATCGCGCTCTTCGTGAGCAATCTCGCCAACATCGATCAAGTTTTCTTACCTTATATTCGACCGAGGGGCAAGCTTGCAGCGAGAAGCGTAGCTTATACCGATCGCGGAAACTAATTTAACCAGTTACATAACTAATTTTCTCTTTGCCCAGTCTCGCTAGACGTTATAACCGTGTTTAGGAGGACGGCAACTGTTGTGTTACGCGGTATCCGCTGTGTACTTTAAATTCGTTACGTTGTCCCCCCTGGCGTCCTAACGGAAAATTTATCGCCGCGCAACTTTGCGCATTGTAATTAACCGTTCCGCGTTATGCATACGTTGAAACAAGATTGCGACGCGGCTTCCTCTCGTTATCTCGCGTATTCCGCAATATGCAGTCGTCGCAGTCGAATATAGCGCCTCTGCGCAATATCGCGCATATCGATATTGCGAATAAGCAGGCGAATTAAGATCCGGCCTCTCCGCGGATGCGAAAAATCCGCTTTCCTGCCAATCGATCCGTCGCCAGATCTCGGAAACACGAAGAGAGATCTCGCGATTCTGAATATCGGGCGATTTACGTTTCAAAGCATTTTGCAGCTAAGTCGATTACACCGTGATCCAAGAAAGATCGCGCAAAGCTCTCGTGTCGAGATCTTAGACACGATAAACTCTGATTCACAGTTGTGAAAATATCAATTAAAAATGTCTTGCTGCAATTTAGCAATTGACTTGAACAAATATGTTTCAATTCATTTTAATTGTCGATTGATTCGAATAAAATTGATCGATACCGAGGAATCTTCCATTGGCTCATTGATTCGTTGATTTTCAACGAATTCAATTGAAGACCGTTTAATTGGCTATTGATATGAGCAAAAGAGATCACAGAAAATTAACAATTGAATTTAGAAAATGCAATTAAAGGCCGTTAATGGTCTTTAATGAAATTGCTGAGTTCAATCGTCAATTAAATGGTCTTTAACTTGCCAAATTGAATTATTAAATGAACGATCCTCCATTCTCTTCGCTCATATCCATCGTCAATTAAACGGTCTTTAGTTGAATTTATTTAAAAACGACTGCCAATCGTACTGTCTTCGATTGAATTTGTGAAAATTAATTGTCAATTAAACGGTGTCCAATTGAATCGGTTTATACATGAACCGTCAACTAAACGCGATAACTAATTAAAAAGGTAATTAATTACTCGCGCTGATTTAGCCGAAGTCGTAGAAACCGACAACTGAAGACACGAGAAAGGTGTCAGGTGTTCAGACACGTCGTTAGAATTCCGTTCAATCGGTTTCCGCGCAGTAACATCGTCGGGACCGGCAGACGAGTGCGCATTCAAGGAGAAGATGATGACGTTCGACGATCATGCGAATCATACGCCGTCTGTCTCCGGCAGCGGCGCGATGAATCACGTCTATTTCCAGCGGCGGGATAAACTTCGCACGCGATCGCCTTTGAGACAGTCCAGAGACAGAGAAAGAGAGAAAGCGGGATCGCGCATCGGCAAGCTGGATACGCGGCGATCCAAATTGCCGAGCGCGACTCGTCGGCTCCGTCTTCGCCTCGCGCGCCGCGGAAATTGCGCGCGCGTGCTTGAAATATGTCCGCTTTTTTTCCGTCGTCCGACGGAAAATCGGCGCCGTTCGCGTTTCACTTCGGTTCTGTCGGTGATTTCGAAGCGCGTCGTTCGTGAGACTCGATAGAGTGGCGAAAATAACAATAAAAAGTCGCACACATAGATATATTGCCACTCGCACGCTACGAAAAAAATGCACGACTTTGAAACGTCGGTTTTTGGAATTCTGGTGAAAATCTAAAAATATATCAAATTGGTTCCACATACACATACACACATTAAAACCATATCAAATACTTTCCCTCAGGCAGTCATTTCTGCATTTGTACTAAGAAAAAAATATTTTATATTGTATTTAGTTGTAATTATAATTACGTAAAAAATAATTATAGCTAGGAAAACTTTTTTTTTATTAAATTCTACTATAATATTAGTGACAAGAATTTTATGTGCATATTATTATTATTATTAATTTTGTGTTAGAACAATCAAAAAACATGGTCCAAAAATAAGTATAATTTTAGTTGGATTAACAATTCTTTTTCTCAGTGTAAACGAAAATTAAAATGAAAAGATTTTAATAAAAATCAAAAGAAAATTTAAGAATCAACATGAGCCTATATATAAATGTGGAATGCAAGTTTTGCATAGTCAATAGGTATGAAAATGTATTAACCATAATATCCATAGGATTGGATATTTTGACTAAAAAGTTCTCACACTCATTGACTATGTGAGTCAATCAGTTTCAAATTTGCTTAATTAGCCTACTATAAGCTCTAATTGGCCCTTAAATCTTAATTTCTGCTTGGAGAAAATGTTCAACATGGAGTAATAAAAAATCGTGTAACAGGATAATCAATCTTTCTCGAAAATCGGGTGAAAAGCCGCGAAATACGTAGAGAGAAAGCGCGAGCAAGCCCAGTACCACCCGGCAAACGGGTTTTCTGCTCTTTAATTAATTACCTCGCTTTATTAATTCACTTATTGCGTCAAAGAAATATAGATTACGAGATTCGTACTTTTCTGTTCACGACTAGGTCGCTCGCGTCCGCGGCTCCGCGTCCTCGTTGCGCATTTTCTACTCGATTTAATTAGTTAACGAGCAAATCCCAGCGCCGCGAATTCTCTAGAAGATGACTTAGAGATAACTCAGCTCGAGTAATTTTTCCACTGCTAATTAATTATCCAACAAGCTCGACTTTCAGTTTAGCTTACGTTACGCTCGCGTTACAATACGCGAGTCTCTCATTATCGCGCGAGCACGCGATCTCACTTTTGGAGATTCACTGCTGCGAAATAAACCGTGCGTTGAACTGGCCGATCTTAATTAGTCCTGAAATTGTCTCTACTTTAAAACATATGCCGCGCAATAACGCGTGTGCGTGCGCGCGTCTATGTGTGTGTTTCACGCGCGAAAAAGTGATAAAACATCGACCATCCCCGAATACGACGAAATAAAAAAAAGAGAGAGGAAAAAGAGACAGAGCGGGGAAAAAAAGCAGGTAAAATCGGACCATTTATTCCACGAAACAGTGTGCAAAATAATCCTCTCTTAAAAGGCTCGTTTTATTTATTTTAATGGTAGCCGATTTAATCAATTTGTGAAAAAGACTCACGCGCGCAATGTTCTATTTACGGTATAACACTTCGTAAAATTGTGTTTGCGCTCAATACATCGCAAACGGATATTACCAGATATTTTATTTCCTCCGAATGGATGAAGAGAGGGCGGCGGAGATCGACGAGAAAGGGAGGAGTGTAGCAAAAGTATAAAATAATTTTTCT